AGTCCGTGTGAATTTGTCTCGTTTCTCATCCATAACTCCAAGGACACTGGGCTGGCATCCGAGTCAGGCTGCTCCTGGCATTTCAGAGGCGTGCTAACCCAGATGCATAGGAACAGTGCTTAAGGAAAGATAAATTTCTTATAGACCTGGGGCAGGACTACCCACCATGATCTGCCCAGTTAGGAATTTATGAGGCTACTTTCCATTGAATCTCCCTTTTTTTTTTTTTTTTTTGTTCATAGCAACTTGCTGAAGGTCACTTAGTTTGAAAGGGATGAGTGTGACACTTCCGGGAGACAGGGATAGACAGGAGGGGTGAGAAAGAGAGGAGAGCCCAGGAAAGAGCGTGAGAAACGAAACTGGAGCACCTGATGTGGTGATGGGAAGAGAATGAGTCCAGGGTAGTTTTAGAAAGTTGCAGGCATGTTGTCCTGACTGGTGTGGCTCAGTGGATTTGGTGTCACCCTGCAAACCAAAAGGTTGCTAGTTTGATTCCCAGTCAGGGCACATGCCTGAATTGCTGGCCAGGTCCCCAGTAGGGGGTGTGTGAGAGTCAACCAATTGTTTCTCTTGCACATCAATGTTTTGTTTCCCCTCTTTCGAAGAGGGAAGGAAGAAAAAGTTCTGCAAATTAAAGTGACAGAAGAAATTAGCAAGAGAAAGGACAGATTTTTATGCACATATACATGGGGGAGTTCACAGGAAAATGTGATTCAATGAGGCAGTTAGAATTTGGGGCTTATATACCACCCAAATTGGGGAAGGGATGGGGAGAAGGACACTTTGGAAAATGACTCCTTAATAGGGCAAAGGGGTGGGGGGAAAGCACTTATGGGAAAACAAATGACTTTAGAAAAGATAAATGAGCCCTGAGGAGAGTGAATGGGAGGTGTGATAGCTGTGTGGCCACGCCCACTTAGGCATGGCGCTCCTTTCCAGCCATAAGAGTCGCTGTTCTCTGGTCCTAACAAACGCCCCAGAAGGGGATTCATGACATTGGAGGTCTGTGGGAGGCTCTGCTTTGGGGCACATAAGGGGGTTCAGAAAAAGCCTATATTAAAGTGTCTTCAGTTGACGATAATTTTTATGCCACCGTGGCGTATTTTGGACCACTATACAAGCCGTGCATATTCAGCCACCCCTGTGGAAAGAGTGGTAGAGGCCACAGTTGCTAGAATCTAGAGAAACTGGGAGAAATACTTCGAGGTGTGAGACTGTGCTTCTGCCATGGTGAAAAGAGTCGGTTCACTGATGCTGAGAAGCATCAGAGATCAGGCGTCTCTGCCAGCACTGTCCACCGGCAATGAAATGTGAGCCCCGCGCGTCATTTCACATTTTCTGATAGCCATACTAAAAGGTAAAAAGAAACAGGTGGGATCCATTTTGATAATGGAACAGGGTGCAGCCAAGAAGGAGGCCCCAAAAAGCGATTTGGAATGGGGTCCAGGACTCAAGGTGTTCAGGAAATATTAGAAAGACATATAAGATGTCCTCACCCCTTCCCCCCACAAGTTGTGAGTTGGGAGAAGGGGCAAATGGAGCAGGGTCATTGAGAGCAGTTTCGAACAGCAACAGCTTTGCATCCAACCTCTGGCATGGTCATTTAACATATCTATAAGCTTTAACTGGCTTCATAGATATGTTAAATGGCTGTGGGAATGGAAGTGACTTCCAGCCAAGATGTAACTGGGAGGCAGGTCCCCGAGTGACGGCTCCTGCTTGAGAGCTTGGAGATGGTTGGCTCTGCACCATGGGGCCACGCCTGGCCAGACCCACTATGGCAGCCCAGTAAAGCTGGAAGGATATGGGAGTGCCGGGAAGTGCAGCTGATTGTGGGAGGAGTTGGAAATGGGGCTGCAGAGGAAGATTGACAAGGATTTAAAAATGCAGACTGGCAGCCACTGAGGTGTGAACCACGCGGCTGTGGCAGTGCAGAGAGAGAGACTTGCACTTTTGACCAGAGTGCGGACCCCCGCAGCTCTGGTGGAGAGAAGAGGACCATGCGGTTTTGGCCAGAGTGGAGACTTCTGCAGCCTTGGTAAAGGAGGACTATGCAGCTTTGGAGTGCTCCCTTTGGCCACATGGCCAGGGAAGCAGGGGAGACTTTGCCTGGAAAATGGGTACAAAGAATTCTTGACAGTAGACCATGAGAAGGCACCACATGGCTTTGGAGTAATTAGAGATCCTGCCTGGACCGGGACACAGCTGATGGTGCCAGGAGCCTGGATCCCAGACGTGTTCTTCTTTTACTGAATTATGGTACCCCGGATTAGGGCAGGGGGAGAAGGAAGAGTTGTGTGCCTCTGTGGGTATCCGAAAGGACTTTGATATTTTAATGAAGACATTAGGTCACTACTTTAAGTCTGTATAGCATTAAATAAACATTTCCTTTCCTTTTCACAAATCTCTGGCATTGAGAGATGTCTTCCCTATTGGCGACAGACGGTTGAGCCCAGGAGGGGGTCCTTTCCGTTAGTAGTATACCGCCCTTGGCCCCCTGTGTTCTGCAACAATAACATATTTTATTTATAACCCAATCAAAACTGTTGTCATTTCAACATGTAAAATTATTTGAGATATTTAACTTTTTTAAAAATAGGTTTTCAAAACCCAGCTTGTATTTTGCACTTCTCTCAGTTCAAATGAGCCACATGTCAAGTGATCAACACATGGCTGGCTGATAGCTTCCATATTAGACAGCGCAGGCCTCCAGGGCCCAGCATTCGGAAGGTTTTATGGACTCAAGGCTGCAAACACCTCTGCTTCTATTGCTGAATATCTAACAGGTGTAGAAAGGTTACAGCACTACGGGGGGTTCCAGGGAGTAGGCTGCTAGTGCGGAAAGTGTCAATGGCAAGGCTATAGCCTCTAGGACATATTTTTCTTGAAAAAAATTTCATTTATTTATTTTTAGAGAGAGGAAAAAGTAGGGAGAGAGAGGATGAGAAACACTGATGTGAAAGAGAAACATCGATTGGTTGCCTCTCACCCCACCCAGGCTCTTAACCCACAACCCAGGCCTTTGTACCCATTTTCCAGGCAAAGTCTCTCCTGACCTGGAATCGAACTGGCTACCTTTTGCTTTGCAGGACGATGCCCAACCAACTGAGCCATACTGGTCAGGACCCTCTAGGACATTTTATGAGAATTAGAAAACAGTGACTGCTCTAGGCTTAAGGCTTAGTGAGAGAAAGGTACTTTTGAACAATAGCAACAATAACCCAAGCCTCCCTTTGTCCAACAGTCTTGTACTAGCCAGGTTGAGTGTAGAAATGAAGCACCACTCCAGGCATTTCAAGTGGAAAAGATTTAATACAGGGGAACACGGGTCTAGACCAGTATATCTTCTGCAGAGCCCAACTCCCTACTCACTCCTGGAAACTAAGGACATTTTCCTCATGTCCCCCATGGTCCGTGACACAGTGCTGGACACTGTAGTAGTTGTGTAAAGAAGTGAATGAGTGCAGACTCCCCCTGGCCTGAATCTGGGCACCGAGGAACATGACCCACCCTTGCCTCAGGGCCTGAGACCATTACTGGGGTAAGGTGTTGAAAGCCCCTCTGGTTGAGCAGTAACTGAGGCAGGGTAACACTGTTACCAGCCATTGCCCCCATCCTTGCTAACTGAACCCCAATATTGTTTGGGTAGTGTGTACCCAGCCCATGGACAGGAACCATGATTAGTCTAAGCCAGTGATGGCAATCCCATTCCTTTGCCCAATACTTGCTTTCTCAGCCTCCCTTGCAGCTAGAGGTGGTAAGGCGACCTAGTTGTAGACATGGAGATAAGGAGAAATCTGGCTGGAAGCTTTAAGGCAAGACAAGAAGGTGTGCTATGAGAAATACTCTGCCTTCTCCCCCATCCCACTCACCTACTTTGTGCTCCCTAACAGCATATAGTGAGAGCATATGACGTTAGGAGCTACTGTGGAGGCATTTGCCAACTGTGAGAAAGTCAAGAGAATGGCAGATCTGCCAGCCCCTCAACAAATGCCAGGACCTTCTATCTCTAGACTTCTTGATTCATGAGAACTATATGCTCCTATTTGTTTAAACCATAATTATTTCGGTTTTTTGTTACAGCTGAATCTAGTTCAAATTCATAAATCTAATGGTTACTCAAAGGATACGTTGGTCCTGGAACTACGGAATCCTGGGGCTGGGAGAGCATCTCAGTTCCCTTCAGCTCACTCCCCCCAGTGCCGGTGTGGCTCCTCTGCAGCCTCCCCGCCGGGGGGCCAGTGAGCATCTGATCAGAGATGGGGCCTCCAGGTTAGATGGCTTCAGAGGGTATGGAATTTTTAGATCAAGCCAAAACTGAATTCCCGGCAATTCCACCCAATTGTTTTGGTATGGATAATTTGGAAAAGACAGGGATTGTTAGAAGGGGGTGGAGTTAGATGGGTTTAGTGACAACTTTTTTCTAATTCTGTGACATTGAGCAAGGTGCTTAATCTCTCTGAAACTTAGTCTCTATTATCTCTAAAGTGGAGACAATAGATTCTCCCAGGATCAAGGTGGGGGTCCGGTGCACAAGCACAGGGAGCCTGCAGCGGTGTTAACGGTCTGGCCCTTCACCTGTGGGTTGTGTCTGCTGGTTGTCACATCTGCGCATTGGGCCCAGAAAAGAGGCGCGAGCCCAGCATGGGGACAGGTGCGCTTTGATGCAGGACAAAGAATATGGGTCCTTCCAACTCCCCGCCAAAGGGCTGTGTGTATGTGTGTATGTGCACCCCATCTTTGCCCGTCTGTCCTGTCTGAGAACTTGAGGGGTGGGGAGGGCACCTCCGAAAGGTGTGATTGCCCCCCAGCAATGGAGAATTCTCTGCTTTGCCAAAACTTGTCTCCGGCCTGTGCAGACTCACGTTGCCCCACATCATACCCACCCCTCCTTCCTCTGACCTGAGGGGGCAGAGCCTGGGTGGAAGGAACATCAAGAAAGACGTCAACTCAGCAAGAACATCCAGGATCCTGGGGAAGGTTTGCAGGAAGGGCTTTAATTGTCAAGAACCCAACCAGGAACAGAGGTGCCGGTCAAGGGGAGGCCGGCGGGCAGAGGTGGTCAGGAGCTATCCTGGGCTGGGGGCAGGGCGGGTGGTTGGTTTCACTCCTTGGTGCCTTTAGGATCAAGGCAGATGCCAAAGTTTGTGTTGGTGATGGAGCCCACGATGGATTTGTCAGCCTCGCAGGTCAAGCCCCGCTCACAGGGACACTTGTAGTAAACCCCATAGAGTGACTGCAGAGACATGGAGCCAGTGGAGTCACAGGCTATTGGGGGCTACTTGGGGCATCTCCTGTCTTGGGCCTGACCACTGGAACCAGCGGGCAATCTGTCTGTTCACATGGTGCTTCTCTCCACCTGTTGCCTCCCCCAGGGGGCTCGTGGGCCTGAAGGACTCCGGTTCTGGCTCCCACTCTGGCTCATTTGCTCCTTCTAACTACATCTCTTTGGGGAGCCTCTGTTTATCCATTCATGAGATGGGGACGCCAAGTCCCTTCCCCCACCCATCTCTGGTCAGTTGTGAGAAACCATGGACAGGAAAGTGCTTTGAAACCTGTTGACCTTCCTCTCTTGTCTCAAGATCCAGGCTGACCTCTTCCCTGATCCCATCCCCAAGCCTCCAGGGCCCTCCTGCTCTGGGCTGCCCCCCAACACACACACACACACACACACACACACACACACACACACACACACACACACAGTCCTTCTGCACCTACCTTGGCAGAGCACTCGCTGTTCTCGCTGGCCTTGGGTGCGCAGCGGGCCAGGCTCAGCCCGCTTGTCCGGTGGCAGCACTTGCTCTTGCACTGGGCGCTGTTTAAGCAGAGCTCGCCCTCTTCCTGCGGGGGCAGCCATCAGCCAGGACCCCTCCCTCCACGGGGTCCCCACTGAGAGCGTCTCCCTGCCCACCCCACCCCACCTCACCCCTGTGAGAAAACAGCGGTGTGGCGAGCAGCAGCAGTCCTGGGCTGTGGGTGCAGGACACCTGCTTCTACGCCAGTTGTACTACCAGCTCCCTGGGTGACCCCAGGAAAGTCACTGGCCCATGTTCGGCCTCAGTGTCCCCCTGGAAGGTGCATGTGTGGCCCCAAACAGGGGCTTCAAACCTTACTGGGTTCACACCCTTTGAGCAAGGAGCCTGTGAAAATTAAGGACCATATCCCTGGAAAACTTCCTCCCCCCACAGAATTTTGCACATAATCTCAGGGGGTTCCTATCCCCCGGGGCCCAGTCATGGGACCGATTTAAGAACCTCTGGACAGGATGGGTGGCCCCAAAGGGCTTTCCCTGGTCTGCCCTCTGAGAGGCAGCGTGTCGCAGTGGGGACAGCGTGGCTCTGGAGCCGAGCCCTGTGCTCCATCCCTGCTCAACACATTCCAGCTGCGCGGCCTCAGGCAGGTTGCCCAGCACCGGCTTTGCACCTGGAGCAGTGTTGCCAATCACAGTGCCTGTCCCAGGGGGTCAGTGTGAGGACTGAATGGATAGGTATTCGTGAGGTATTTAGAACCGTGTCTGGCACGCAGGAAGTGTGCACTGCAGGTTGGAGCAGGAATCCCTGGGCTCTGAGCCAGCGTTTCTAGGGGGGACGCCTAGAGCTCTGGGTTTTTAAAAGCTCCCTTAGCCAGATCAAACCACTGTGCTGAGCGTGTGCCCCGCTGATCAGCCTTTTCCAGGGCCCCTGGGCAGAGGCACAGGGCAGGACACGGGCAGCAAGGGAAGAGATACGTCACCTCCCAGCCCTTTGGCAGCCCCAGGTGGGGACATCAGAGGTCAAGAACCAAGCTTAAGAAAGTTCCCACCCGGGGGTCCAGATGGCTCCTCCGCTAAAGAGCCTCTCACCAGGTGGATAATGATTCCCCGGGGGTCGGGCACCGCGTAGGCCACAGCGAGGGTGACGAGCAGAAGGACAAGGATCTTCTCCATGATGAGTGCGCACAGCTGGTGTAGGTAGTCGCCAGCAGGGCAGGTGACAGAAGACAGAGCCAGCTGGGGTGGTGGGGCTTTAAAAGGGGCCCTGCCCACATGTGACCCACCTTCCCCATCTTACAGGGCCTGCGTGAGCAGAGGCCCAGCTGTGGCCACGCTGCTGGGGGAGGGGGAGTGGGAGCCTGATAAAGTGAGTGGGTGGCAACTGGGCACCTGGCGCCTTTCACTTCTGGGGGGATGGAGGGGTGGGGATAGCGCATTGTGGCTCAGAGTGTGGACTGTGGAACATTAGCTGGGCAACTTATCTGTTCTGAGTCTCAGTTTCCGTATCTGTCAAGTAAGGATAATTTCAAGAGCCGTAAGGGTTGAGCGAATTGATACATGTTATACAGAGTACATGTTAATAGATAGATAGAGCTTAGGACAGGGCTTGGCACCTGTAAGCAGTGTGTGTTAGCTGCTATTATTTTTGCCATCATTCACCTCCTGTACCCTCGCTTCTCAGCAGGGCTGGGACTAGGGTGAGGCAAGAGAGGCAGCCAGCGTAGCATGTAAGCACCTCCCTAAATTTTCATCCCCAGCACCTCTCTTGCCTCACTCCAGGCTGGCCCTCACCCAAACCCAGGTGTCTGGCAGTGACAGGCTCAGGGGAGGAGGGCCCCAGCCTCCCCACTCCTCAACCTCCCCAGGCCCTCTTGGGGATTTTAGGGCAGGCCCAGGTCCCTGTGGACCAGCCCAGCAGCCTCGTGGCCAGGGGCTGTGTTCTTGCTCTGGGTGGACCTCTCCTGCCCTTACAGCAGTGGTTGGGGGGAGGGGGTGCTGTCTCCAAGAGTAATTGCAGAGGCCCTTGGGAAGTCCTTCCCAAATGATTCTCACCAGTTTCTTTTTTTAAATGTTACTTAATATCTGCAATTCCAGCATGTAAGACTCACCCCTTCAGTTAACACTCACCCTGGCCCCTTCCCAAGGCCATATGTGAGTGGCAGGAGGTCTGTGAGCCTCAGGTGGCCCAGGGGCTGGAGGCTGGGAAGGGCGCAGCTGCCTGGGTGTGCTCAGGTGCGGGACCGAGCCGCCTTCCCAGGACGACTGGCCTGGCCGTGGCAGCCGGGAACGCCCTCCCCGGCCCAGACAGTGGGAAGCGGCTCCGCTGTGGGGCCCCAGACTGGGTTGCTTCCAGCACAGCTTCCATCCAGACAGACTTGGCTTCCAAGCTCAGCTGTGTGACCTTGGACGAGTTGTTTAAATGTGTAAGCTCCCTGAGCCTGCCTCGTTCGTCTATCTAGGGAGGATGAAGGCTCCTTCACCAGGTCAGGATTGAATGAGACAGTGTATGCTGTGTGACAGGGGCCTGCAGGGTACTGTGCTAAGTGAAACCAGTCAGTATTGACAAAGACGAATACTACATGACTTCACTTATATGCAGAATCTCGCTAAACAAAATGCACAAACACACCAAACAAACAAACTCATAAATACAGAGAACAGACTGTTGGTTGCCAGAGGGGAAGGGTGTTGAAGGACTGAGTGAAAAAGGCGAAGGGGTTAAGAAGCACAAATTGGCAGTTATAAAACAGCCACAGGATGTGAAGTACAGCCTAGGGAATCCAGTCAATAACACAGAAAAAGCTGCGTATAGTGCCAGGTGGGTATCAGACTTATCACGGGGAAGTTATGCAAATGTCTAATCACGGTGCTATACGCCTGAAACTAATATAGCATTGAATGTCAACTGGAATTGAAAAACTAAAATAAAACTAACATTATAGAAGCGCAGTGTATGTAGACTCCCTGGGGAAGTTCCCAGCATCCCTCCGGGTGCTCAGCCTGGGTCCTGCGCCCTCCCCTTCCCGCTGACACCACTGCAAGGCGGAATATACGGTAAGGGAGCAGCTGGAGGAACCAGACAGGAGCCCCTTAAAATGAGAGAAATCCACCCAATTCTGGAGACACAGAAATATCATTGATTAAAGAACACTGTCCTCTCTCATTTTTATGGAACTCAGTGTTAAAAAACACTTTTCCCATGAGCTCATCCGGGCCCCTTCTGCCCCTTCCACCCACTTCTCCCCAACACCGCCGTGAGCAGAGCCTCGGGGAAGCTAATTATGGTTCCCTTCCCACAAGTTGAGACTAGAAGGCCGGGGAAGGAAGGAGGAACGGAGGAGCTATTTCTAGCTGTGAGTGAAGCTGTGAAAACGCATCGGTCCTGTCTCCAGCTGGTCACTGCCAGCTTCCCAAGGGGAGAGAATGGAGTTTTTCTCATCACAAATGAAGAGCGTGGCAAAGAGAATGTTGGCAATGTTCACACTTCCAAAATGTTAAGTAAGAATTAAGTGCTTTCGTACCGAACTCTCGTAAGGAGCAACCACCCCATCCCCAGTCTAAGGAGTATTTTGCGTTGGATTTCCCCTTCAAAAAAGAACTGAGTTCTGGTTCCCACGAGCAGTCACATGGATGTCGCTCACAGGCACAGGTGAGAAAAGCCATAGACAAGTGAATATGGACTGCAATTCCACTTCCATGAAGTTCAGGGAGAGGCAGAACTAACCTACGGTGATAACAATCTTCAGGGGTGCATCTGGGAGGGATACTGACTGGGGGCACCTTCTGGAGTGTTGGAATCGCTCTAAATTTGAGTCTGGGGTGTTGGTGGCACACATGTAAAAATCACCCCAGTAGGTGCTTCAGATTCGAGTATTTTACTGTATGTAGTGTAGATACTGCACCACAATGAAAAAAAAAACAAAAACAAAAAAATGAAGCAAAATTTACCCTGTTCGAATTTTACCACCTGGTGTGCTGGGGATTGGGGTGGTGTCCTGCCCTCTGCAGAGTGGGGCTGGGACGCGGTGGCTGTAGACCTAGGAGTGTGGCCAACTCCTCTTGGGTGTCTGCCAGTCTCCATTGTTCACGATGCGCCCCAGACACACGCGGTGGGCCTCTGGCTGCCCCTCTAGGAAATGAGCTCTTTGCTCCCCGCCCCAACAGACTGGACAGGGAGGGGCTGCCGATCTAAGTGCCTCTCCCGGGGGGGAGGGGGGGGTTCACCGCCCAACAGCTCACCCTCGAGCTGGTCTAAAACATGGAACGAGGGAAGTCCAGGAAGGCGATTTTCTGATGAGCTGATGGGGAAAATGAAAAAGCTGATTAGCAGATGGGAGGAAGGATAGATTAGCCTTTCAGGGAGAAGCAGCGGCAGCCATGCCCTGACTCCTGGATGGAGTTCTGGGTCCTGGTTACACACGTACACATGCACGCGCTCACATCCTCACACACCCACACACACCATTACCATTCCTGCCCCTGTAGGGCCCGAAACTCCCCTCTCTTCCTGTAACACGTCCCCTTTGCTTAAGGCACAGACACTGACATCTCAATTCTGGGAAAGAGCTCGCAGCTCTGGATTAAGGTCAGATGTGTGACAACCCAGGCAGGAGTCAGAGCAGGGAGCAGCAGGGAATCCACTCAAGATTCGGGTTCCCCATTCAGAGACTCTGGTCGGCTTAGCTTGTGTCCTCCAACCGCCAGCCGTGGGCTGCCCTGGGCAGCGCCCCAGAAGGACAGCCCCGCCTGGGCTTCATGGAATGGGGAGGGGCAGTTCTCCAAATAGAGTGGGCTTTTGTTACCGAAGAAAAGGGGAAGGATTCTGGGCAAACAACAAGGAGTTCCTCCTCTACTTCACTGTGGGCTGTCTAGCCCCCAGATAGCACTTCTTCCCCAAGAAGTAGGCTCAGATGACAGTGGGGTGCGCCGTAATTGTAACTTGAATTTTCTCTGACTCTCCAGTCTCCATCGCGTTCAGGTGAGGACAGGCAGCGAGACTCACAGCAACTTCCAGGTTGCCTGTCTTTTTTTAATTCAATCCTCAGCCTCTGGGTTCTTCTCAGCACCCCATGCTCCTGACCAAGACTGGACTGAGTGTGCAGTGAAGCTTACGTGGCCTGGAGGAGGCAGGGGTAGAGGTCTATATGACCTCTGGGTCTTCTGTGGCTGCTGTGAAGGCGTCTCCTGTTCTACCTCATCCTTCTGGTCCCGGTGAAATCTGTGCTCTATTCTCTTAGTGTGGTCCCTCCCTTCAGCTGGTCAATAACCACATGAACCCGCTTTTCCAAATTTATAATTCCCACTCCTCATCAGAGCTCCCTTCAAACACATCACACCCATCCTCCGTAAGCCCAGGATGCAGTGGCTGGTCCAGGGTCTCAGCAGTCACTGCCCCAGGGTTGCCCTTCACTTTGGTCATGACCACATCTCAACATTCTGCAGCATAGAGGTTAAATTGTAAAGTTAAACAAGAAAGAGAAGAGAGTTATAAGATATAAAAATATACACATGATCAGCAAGGAAGAAAATCGGGTGGATACTAGAGTCCTTCCTGCAGATGCCACCTGGCTGCGGGTAGACTCACGACTATCCCCCACCCCACGTCCCCGCACTCTTGTCCTGCGTCTCTGCTGACCAGGGTTCTTTACACCAGGCGGTGACCCAGACCTTCTGCTCCTGAGCTCTCTGGCCCCTTGATGGGCCTGCCCCTGTGTTGGGTGGCTGAAGTCTACATTAATATGTTTCCCCCTTTCATTGATTTTTACACTGGACTTGGCAGGAGCGGGAGGCAGCCCAGGCGTTTCCGAGTTCTGCACATGCTCCTTCTGAGCCCTCTGTGTATCAGCGCCCCCTCCTCTGGGGATGGCACCCCACCAATAACCAACATTAGTAATCCCCCTTTAAGGAAGTTAAAGTACAATTAACATAGTGAAATTCACCCTTTGTAGTTGCAGTTCTATGAGTTTTGACAAACTCGTACATCATGTAACCACCGCCACAACCAATATACAGAACACTTTCATCACCCCCCAAAATTTTCTGGCACCATCCCTTTGTAACCGACCCCACTGCCAAATCCTGGTGGCTACCGATCTGTTTCATTTCCCTCTAGTTCTGCCTTTCCCATAATGTGATGTAGATGAAATCATACATACAAACTTTTGGGAAGTCTGGCTTCTTTTTTTTGTTCGTTTGTTTAAAA